GAAAGCCATACAATTTACCTCAATTTAGGAAAGACTCTTGAATTTTGAGGAGTCAAAATAGGATGAACGGATCATATAAACCCGAAGACAAATATAATACAAGTCTAAATTGAAAACAACGTTCAAACCTATGATTGCGTTGGATAAAAACCGCATTTTTAAAACGTGTGCATGCAAAACAATTTTTTTTGTTAGAGGGGTCTAAATACAGCACAAACAACATATATAAAATTATATATATATATATATAAAAATTTTTATTCTAATTCGATTTGTATATTTCGCATGGTAAAAAACGACCGAATATGTCCCGGCAGCGTCCCGATTCTGCCGAATGCGATCCGACAGAGATCAGACAGTGACCAGGCAGTAAACCGACGCTGACGAAAAGATATCCGTTAGAAAACCGTTTCATGTGATAGTCCCGTCTTATAAAAAAATCGCCATATTCGGGATGATCAGGTAGTACCGGAACGCAATCTTATCACAGTCTGCTGAACCGCATTGCAAACGGCTTTGTCTGGAATCCGTCGTATCGTGTTCTGTAATTGTCGGGACTCCGACGTGGGTATTATTGCCGAATTTCGTATTAATAACGGGACTGTTTCCGGAACAAAGACGGTTTTATTTCGGCAAGATCTGAATGCAATCTGGACTCTATCGGCAAAAAAACAGCAATGACAAATTTCTCCAGATCATGCCCGTTCAACAGGACACAGTCCAGAAAACACAGAACATTGTTACTATTTTTATCCTATACAGCAGAATCTGTCACGACATAATCACGATTGTAATCCGACTAGACAAAATCGAGTTTCCCCGAATGTTACTGGACACAACTAACTGTGCTTGGCCGACATTCCCGGTCCGTAGGAATCTGTTACGAACGTACACATTATGCGGCGTTCACACTGTGCCGATAATGGCCCCCGTTTGAGATCAGAGAGCGCTAAGACACGAAAAGTGAAAAAGTCGGATTACTATCCTCAATGATCTGGAATGTCTATCATTGTCTGAACGCAGTCGTAAACGTTCGTAACAGATTCCTACTGATCGGGAATGGTCCGGAGAGGTCGGCCTAGAACCCCGACAGTTAGGTGCGACAATTACAGAACACGATACGACTGAGTCCAGACAAAGCCGTTTGCCGGTACAGCAGACTGTGATAGGATTGAGTTACGACAGTATCTGATCATCACGAATATGGCGATTTTTTTATAGGACGGGACTATCACTTGAAACGGTTTTCTAACTGATATCTTTCGTCAGCGTCGGTCCTCTGGTCACTGTCTGGTTACTGTCTGATCTCTGTCGGATCGCATTCGGCAGAATCGGAACACTGTCGGGACAGATTCGGTCGTTTTTTACCTTGCGAAAGATACAAATCGGATTAGAATCGGATTGAGAACGAAATAATTGAGACAAATGCGGCTTGAAAAGGCTGAATTTGGACGGTTCCTGCACAATATCTGATTGTTGTCGTGTTTAATAAATGTTTTTAAAAATTTTAATTAAAGTTTGAATTTCCAGCCACGATTCACAGGATCTTTATCAGACTTTTGACAAATGTTAACCGGGAATGGTCCTATGAAGGACAGCAGTAAAAATCGTGAATGTGTGACCCCGGCTTAAATCTAATCCATTTTTTAAAGGTTTGGGCGATTTAGACCTCTGCTTATTATAAAACACCTCTCAATTATTGAATAGCACGTTTTTACGTATTAGTTGCTTTTGTTCTAAGACATATGAAAGAACTCCAAATATCAATAAAAGAAAAATAATCGAAAATGAAATCGGATTAACATTAAGCAGAAAAAAATAGATAACGTGTACTCTTATAATGCGCACTCGTGAGATCTTAGATATGATAGAGGCTATATCCTTATTTTAAATGCTTGGTTTTAAAGGCGAAAACTGGCAGAAATATCTAAATAGATGAAAAATGTTCGTTAATAACAAAAGCTTTAGGACCATATTTATTTAAACTTATTAAGTCTTCATTAATTTTGTTTTTAGGTTATTTCCCCTTAAGGATGTACTTAGGTCAGGTTTAGGAATTTTTGTCAGATGTTCAGACGACTCCTTGGTTTTTTTCTATGATACAGGGTAAAATATTTTGCCCCAAAATACCCATTGTCATTTACCAAAATTTAAGCAGATTCTAGATTTCTTTCCATTCGATTTGAGACCAAAATAATACCAATGCAAATATAAGGTAAAAATCCGAGTCAGCCTTTACCCGCCATTTAAAAAAAATAAATATCTCGAAAATGAGCTTCATAACCTATCAATATTTTTAGCTTATTTTGTTCCTAAACTTATGCTCTTCTGACTTACAGTATCAATTTAAAATTCTAGATTTTTTTAATTTCACCACAGTACATCCTTAAATCCGTAGATGGAATTTGCACGCGCAGAAGTGCAAACTTCAAGTTATTTAATGTTATGCGTCTGTTGATGTTTGTTTTAATTAATAAAAGCCTGCTGTGCAAAATCTATTCGTAGTCTTTGAGTAGAAAATTGTGCAATATAATGGTGTTATTCACATAAAATATGTTGTAAATTTATTTTGTTTGAATTTAAATCAATACATCTGCATACTTGATAATATTAAAATTTAAACAATAATATATATTTATTTGGGATCAAAATTAATAATCCTTATATATATTTTGATATATGATTATTTTGAAATATGACATACGGTAGATTCAGAAATTTAGCGCAATAGTTGGCCAATGGACACAAATGCAAGACTAATCATTGCGAATGGGTGTTTATTGTTCATCATACTTATGAAACATACAATGTACCACACCTCCTTACTTTTATATCTATACAAAACCATCTTAAAGACAAGAAAATTATAAACACATTTCGCCTTTAAATAAAGATAATGTCAAATTAAAGAACCTTTGTGAGCACGCTCACATACCCCACGCCCCCACATTGTCACTGGACAAACAAAATCTCACCAGATTCCTAAGTTCAAAGACTCATAACTCTACAAAAGTCAACTGATAAAAATTTTCTTGTGGATATGCACAGGAGTTGCGATGACAAACTGTTGCAGTAGTATATTGAGGCCAATAAGTTCAAAGGGGCATAACTCATAGAAATAAAATTAAATCATAATTTCCTGTCTATATGCACATCTACATAGTATGTCCTTATTATCTACAAAGTTTCATGAAATTCTGTTGTGTGGTTTCAAAGGAGTTGCGATGACAAACTGTTGCAGTAGTATATTGAGGCCAATAAGTTCAAAGGGGCATAACTCATAGAAAAAAAATATTGAATCATAATTTCCTGTCGATATGCACATCTACATAGTATATCCTTATTATCTACAAAGTTTCATGAAATTCTGTTGTGTGGTTCCAGAGGAGTTGCGATGACAAGAACAGGACTGACGGACGGACGGACAGACAGACAGACGGACAGACGGACGGGTCAAAAACATTATACCCTCCGCAACTTCGTTGCGTGGGGTATAATTAGTGACCTTTTCAATCTAAGTACCTTACTTTAGAAGGGAGGACTAACATTTCGTATATCCAAACTTCCTATTAGAATAAAAGAAAAACAAAGGATATGGGGTATCCATCCATGACACAATATAAGTATATGCATAGCAAAAAAAAAACCACAAAAAGCAAAGGAACAGCGCTTTTATTGTTGTTCTTCATCTCAAAGTCACAATGAGGCCTTCAACACGGAGCAAATAAAACCTCTCACCTCACTGCAAGTTTAAGACGGCCCCTACATGTATCACCGGCTTGAGCGGAATTCTTTGCAAAGATAATTTGGATAGACTTTGTAAGGTGTAACACCACCTAATCGGGCCCGGATTAGGATTGTTTTAAGAAATAAACGCACTGGCAGATAAACGAATGAAAACTATGTTCGACCTAATATTCATATGTGAAGTTATTCTAAATTGGTGTGTAAATCTATAACAAATATATGCTTTTATATTAGGGATATGGTAACTTGTAATTATATCGATTACACAATACTCATTAAATATTACTTGCGTTTTTCAATTGGTAGTTTTGATGATAACTGCACATCGATTAGTCGTTTTAATTGTAAGAGATGTACCAACTACACAAGTAGGAATACACTTAAGAGCAACGAAATTTTCGTCCGTACTTCATACATAGGAATAAAACTAGATACAGGAAATAGTCACTGGAACAGTTACCAAAAGATTATGGAAATGAATTCAAACAAAAATTTGACGCAACGAAAAATCCATTTTTTGATTGTTAAAGAAATGTAGCTGGTATATAAAATCTCGGAAAATTATTTTCAATTACTATACCGGTTTAAAGTGATTCCATTATCTTTAGTGTGTCTGCATTTCTCTTATCTAAGCTTATGTCTTTTATTTGTACCATTCAGGACTTTATTAATTTTGTTATTCAGCAACTCCTACACCATTCATGCTTTTCCAAGTCTATTTGGACCATGCACAACCTGCATTTAAGGAATAACCTTCGTCGGTACACACTTAGGGGAATCCAAACATAAAAAACACTAATGAACCTCACAACAAATTCTGATTTACCCTCAAATTGATGACCAATATATCATACAGTGTAGCACTGACTGGTAACCTGACTGTTTGAAGCTACATGAAATCAAAAGTACTTAAATGTAGTCAAACCTCCTACTTTCGTAGCAAATAGAAACGCAATACTTTTCCCGGAAAATGCATAGTATAATTTGTTTGTTTGTGTGAAAATAAAAATCGGAATACAAATAAGCCTGTATAGCCTTGAATATGTATTTTGTGTAATAACTGTATAAATGCACATATTATGGTGTTAGAACATGCTAATATATGAAATTTTCAGGCAAACATATGGTTTTCAAATGTAGAAAAACGTTACCGTTGCAGTGATACTAAAGAAATGCAGTTTCGATATCTTGCGAGGATTTCTAAGTACTCACTTAAATAATTTATCACTACGAAATGTAATTTTTTGTTACAGAACAGAAAATCCTATATCCATCAGCAGTACCTGATACAATTACTTGTGCAAAACCTGCAGTAATACAAGTTGAGAAAGCAGATATTGTTGGTGAAAATAGTACCTGCTCCAACGAATGTGTTTTAAGTCAAAGCGATTTTGAAACGATAAAAGTAAAGTGTAATGATTTTCACGAATGCACCGTTGATTTTCCCAATGATACTTCCTGTTTGAGAGAAAACCGCTATTTTCACCTGTCTTATTCATGTTTAGGTAATGTATTTCCATGAACATCTTTTTCTTTTTAACTAACATTAACACTAACTCATAAACTGCTAAAAACAAATGAAAAACATCACCTTTATACATTATATTTTAACTAATTGACTTTTTATATGATATTTTTCATGAATGTCGTACGGACATTTTAAATGTTCGACTCGTCACGGTGGTTTTCAAAACAGCTCCGTTTTGATAATCCATTATGAGGCTATACAACTTTTCTAATGAAAACAATGCTTTCCAAAAATAAATAGCTGTTTAAAGTACTTTACCGAATTACATCAATCGCAAAATGTTATTGATGTCATTTATACAGTTTTGAAGTTTCTCAAAAAAAGTTAAGAATCGTTAGCGGCCACATTTGCAACTGGAATACCTCAAAATAAGAAAATTCTCAACACAGTGTGTAATATTTGCGACGATATATTGTTTACACCATATTTTCGGAATAAAACTGTCGAGCTTTTGATATAAACAAGAATAAGTTTACGAAATGTTGTTGATAAGTCATTCTTAGGGTTGTTGTTTTTGCAATGCTATGCTATTCTTACTAATCTAAATGGCTTATTGTCTTTTTCGGCTACAATCCAGAACAACTATTACTGATTAAATTTACAAGCATTGAGTCGATACATGTACCTCTGCTTGTGGACTGGTAGTCGCAGAGGGTCATCATCAGAGTCGTATTTATTGCTTTGGTCCCTAATTCTAGCTTGGTTACTACATGTATTACAATGTCACAAAGCGTAAACAATTAATAATGATATTGATATTTTATGATATTGAAATTAGTTAAAATTTAAATTGCTTTCTGTGACCGGACAAATAAAACGCATGCATCGATTTTTTTTCTAAAGAATATGTTTTTGATAACAAATGAACTGTCTGACTTGATTTTGCCTACTCGAACAACAATCTCTATGTTTACCCTACCCTAATTTACCCAAATTTTGGGAAGTGTAGCTGGCATAGTTCGGTAAGAAAAACTCGTCCCGCTTTACATTCTCACACATATATAGAAATAAGAAGATGTGTTATGAGTGCCAATGAGACAACCCTCCATCCAAGTCACAATTTGTAAAACGTAAACAATTATAGGTCAAAGTACGGTCTTCAGTTTTCTCGTTTGAATTGTTTTACATTTGTCATTCCGGGGCCTTTTATAGCTGACTATGCGGTATGGGCTTTGCTCATTGTGGAAGGCCGTACGGTGACCTATAGTTGTTAATTTCTGTGTCATTTGGTCTCTTGTGAAGAGTTGTCTCATTGGCAATCATACCACATCTTCTTTTTTATATTTAACACGGAGCCTTGGCTGACTCCGAACTGCAAGCTATAAAGGGCCCCAAAATGACTAGTGTAAAACAATTCAAACAGGAAAACCAAAGGTCTAATCTATATAAAAAACGAGAAACGAGAAACACGTATGAACCACATCAACAAACGACAACCACTGAATAACAGATTCCTGACTAAGGACAGGTGCATATATATATATATATTTGTTCATTAAATAATCCAGATTTCTCTAAATATACTACCGAAATTTACCCAAAGGAACTTACTTTAAATAAATCTAACATAAGCAGCAGTAGTTGTCCTTTTCTAGATTTAGACATTTCAATTTCCAAAGGGAAACTCCACGCTAAAATTTACGACAAAAGAGACACGTACCACATCTTATTATATCTATGAACTTGAAATTCTTTCCATCTTGAAAAAATGGCCTAAATGTTTCTAACAAAATAGGGCCCTAACCACAAAATAGTGTTTTTAATTTTTATTTTGGATCAGGTAAACATATTAAAATACTAGTAGACCGTTCAGTGTGGAAACACATGCTTAGAAAATAAGGTGTTATCGTTAGAAATGTTTTACGTTTAGTAAATTGAGAGCCTTCTATAGCTAAATATACGATATTTGTTTTGCTCATTGTTGAAGGTCATGAGGTGCCATATAGTTACATTTCTATATATTTTTATAACGAACATTATACAAAGAATCTTAATCTAACTGATCGCCAACCTATTTAAATCAAATGACACCCGGTCAACACATTTTCCAATGGATTGAAACAGATACTGTATGGTGAGTAGGATAATGTTTTTGAACCTCCAGTAAGGTAGGAAAACAATCGATTATTTATAAAGATTACTAGTATTTTATTTGTTTTGACTGGCACGTTTTGATATAAATACCACATATAAGGAACTAGAAAAAAGGTTATTTAGACTATTTTGATCTTTATAGGCATGTAATTGATTTTTAGTTTTGCCAAAATAAGAATTCAGGACAGTCATACTTATTGAAGAAAGTAAAACTTCTAAAACTCTAATGGAAGGTTCCTCCATTAAACTATAAACTTTTTTTTTCTCTTCTACAAATTATGTTATATATGAGTATGTCAATCTTTTACAGAGCGATGCAACTGAATTGTAAAATACAAGATGCAACTATTTTGGTCATAACTTCTCTCGATAACTCTTTATGACACTGGTTAACGATTATGAAGTAAACTGTTCATATAAATTATAAATGATTTAGAAAATTGAGAAATAGATATTACGTTACTTGTCTTCATTCAAAGATATACGTATACTGGTTAAGAATAAAACCATATTCAATTTATAAACACAATTCTTTTAGAACTTTCACTGTGATTACGAATGCCATATGTGTCTACTTCGGCCAGGTTGCGTGTTTATATATATAACAGGGTGGATTTTAGGCTCGTATAACAACACTCTGTTTAGGGTTCTTCATACTTTATTGATATTCAGGAAATATAAAAATACAACCCTGAAATGATAATAACAAATTTATAACAAAGTTATTAATTATCACAGTTACATATGAAGTAATCACATATTTGTATTTATAATAGTTGACGTCATTTAATAAATACAAAGTTAAAATATCATAGCCATAACGAACGTAAAGGTAGTAGTAAGTACATGATCAATATTCGATATATATCTATCAAACATTCTATTAACATATATCAAGGTACCATAGTATATCAATAATACACAAATTAATAGAGATCAAGATAAGCCTTTCCACTTTGCGGAATCAGGCTATACACAACATCAACAGCATAACATTAGCATTATAACCAATGCTCTACATCTATCATCAAATGTATGTCTGTATGATCAATGGGTCCTACATGTACAAACAATATACAACACAATAAGTATTCAAATACACATTACAGTTCCATATAATCAAATCATAAAATGTTTTTAATAACCAATTACAATATAGTAATATAAACTTGGTTATCATATATTAAAATTACTGGCTATGACGTAGTATCAGTATAAAGCAATGTGACGTATAAGACTCATGACATAAAGGTCAAAGGTCACTCTCAGAATCATTACATACTATAAGGACATAGGGTCATACCTACCAAAAGGACTTAAAGTGTTCCATACAATTCATTCGTCTCTCATACACCTCAAAGTAAATAAAGTGCATTCTTACCTTATAAAGTGAATATACTAAATTCCATATGTCCAAAATACTGCAAATGACTATCAATGAAATATCATTCAATTCCAAACCATATAAATATAGCAAATATAGCATAAACTAGAGTAAATATAAATTCTCCATTTTTCTTGACCGCACATTGGTAACTGATTTGATTATATGGAACTGTAATGTGTATTTGAATACTTATTGTGTTGTATATTGTTTGTACATGTAGGACCCATTGATCATACAGACATATATATTTTGATGATAGATGTAGAGCATTGGTTGTAATGCTAATGTTATGCTGTTGATGTTGTGTATAGCCTGATTCCGCAAAGTGGTAAGGCTTATCTTGATCTCTATTAATTTGTGTCATGATTATTGATATACTATGGTACCTTGATATATGTTAATAGAATGTTTGATAGATATATTTGAATATTGATCATGTACTTACTACTACCTTTACGTTCGTTATGGCTATGATATTTTAACTTTGTATTTATTAAATGACGTCAGCTATTATAAATACAAATATGTGATTACTTCATATGTAACTGTGATAATTAATAACTTTGTTATAAATTTGTTATTATCATTTCAGGGTTGTATTTTTATATTTCCTGAATATCAATAAAGTATGAAGAACCCTAAACAGAGTGTTGTTATACGAGCCTAAAATCCACCCTGTTATATATATTGTGTTTAAAAATCTATTCATTAACTGTTACTTACGGAAGCGAATTAGCGCCACACATTTTTTTTTAATTTCTTCCTATGTTTGCGTTATAACGCAAAACAATAACGCAAACCTTTGCGAAATAACGCAATTTGAAACCTTTGCGTTTTACGAATGTGACTTACCGAATTAGACTATTTACAGGATTTGTAATAACATAGCAACACGACGGGTGCCAAATGTGGAGCAGGATCTGCTTACCCTTCCGGAGCACCTGAGATCACCCCCAGTTTTTGGTGGGGTTCGTGTTGCTTAGTCTTTAGTTTTCTATGTTGTGTCATCTGTACTATTATTTGTCTGTTTGTTTTTTTTTATTTTTGGCCATGGCGTTGTCAGTTTGTTTTCGATCTATGAGTTTGGCTGTCCCTCTGGTATCTTTCATCCCTCTTTTTTAACTCAAACATTTTGATTTCAATTATTCATTAAGTTTTGTATATGCTATAATCAAAAACTATATTGGAATTACATTTTACATTTATGATATAATTTGATAGCAGTGTTTTTGTAAATGTCAGCATTTGCATGTCCGTCTGTCAATGAATTTCGGTTGTGATTTAGTTAAGAGAAGGAACATGAACACAAGGCCAAATCATTACAATAAACTAGAAGAAACCCGCGAGAGCGCGTCTTGAAGACTACTTGAAATGTTAATGGTGATACACAGCACAGCCCTACATCGTGCAGTTTGGTTTGTGTTTCTCAAACATATTTTGTGCACTGATGCATGGTGTTGATCGTTTTTATTAGTTTTTCAGTTCCTCTTCAATAA